ATTCTATTTCATACTACTTGTATGTCATGGTTGAAAAGTCTCCATGTAGTATGAAAAAAAATATATAAAATTAAGGATTTATTACTGAGTGAAGTAAGAAATGAGGTAGACTGGTAAGTTCGATGGAATGTATTGTTTATTCGATGGAATGTATTGTTTATTCATAATACACAGGGGATATGTACATTTCTATTTCCATTTATAAACCTGTCATATCTTATGTGAGAAGATGTTACTAGACACTGAATTTCAGTAGTGAAAACCATAATTTCTTCTGAAAATATTTGGAGACAGCAGGAACCTTCTTTTGCTTGATTGGTAGAGGCAGATGTCACAGATGTTTCCTACCACTGAGTACTTATCGGACGATGCAAATAATTGCCTACATTACTACTTTCAAATGAGAGAGAAAGGCTCAGAAAACTTTATTTTCACCCACACTTAGCAATGACTTGCAAAGATGCAAAATAGAAGGAAGCTTAAAGAGTAGCAGCTAGAAAATGCCACGGTCAATTCACACAGCCTCTGATAAATGGCCACTTGAGCACTGAACCTCCCTCTCTCCCAGCTGTGTGGCTTGAATCCCTCCTCAGATGGTCCTCTGGGATGCTCGGCTGAGCCAGCCAGAGCATCCTTTGTTCGAAGGAGGCAGCAAGTGGTGGAGGGGAAGCCAGACACGGTGCTGAGGACAATGTCTCAGTGCCAGTTACAGCGACCTCTTTGCGTGTTAAGGCTGTAACAGAATATTTCTAAATCAGCTGCATTCTCTTGTAAGTATAATACATTGCCAACGTAAAGCTCTCTTCTTTGATAAAATAGGGAATTGTTAAAAATGGATTTTTAACAAGTAAAGCATAGTTTAGATGACAGTGCAATGTCAGTGCCAAATAGCTATTTAGAAGGATTTCAGGTGCTAAAGAAGCAGGAGAGTGAGGATACGTTAGGAAAATATAGAATTAATTAAACTGACAGAAAGAAGCTACATTTCATGGGCTGGAAGAGCAGGCAAAAAAGATAATGCCTGGTGAATATTCATGAAGAAAATTTCCTACATTTTGTTCTAGGTTCATTCAACAGTAATTTTTACTTCATTGTGCTAAGAACATAATATTTCACACTGCTGAATATATTTATTTTTACTTTACACCAAATAGAAACTGGTTTGGATCCCAATTTTCTTTGCTAGTACTGTTTACTGCAGCAGACATGTCCATGAGATTTTCTAAGTTCCTTGAAATGCAGATATCGGGGACCTTGCCTGCCTCACGCTATATTTATTGTAACACCCTTAGTTCATTTGGTTTCCTACAGCATACCCAGTCTCCTAAAGACTGCCTCAGGGTTGCACTAATGCTATGGCCAATACACAGGCAATTTGGATTTAAAAACCCACAAAACTGTGTTATTAATTTTTATAAAAACAATTGTACTCCTTTTAAAGTTAGTCTAGAGGCTAAGGATATAATAGATTTTTTAAAAATTTATTTATTTTAATTTTTTACTGAGTGTAGTATATTATAAACCAGAACTTGACTGTTACTGTTGGAAAAAAATTGAGTCAGGCATCCTACAGAAAAGTACTTGTATTTGCTAAATACTTTATTTCCTGTTCTTCTGCAACACTGCAGAGGTGCTCAGTAGAAAAGGATCTTAACTCTTCAAAGTTAATGACAACTATCTATTTTACATGCTATTAATCATAAGCAGTGATGAAAAACATACTCTGACAACCAAGATTACGTGTAGCACATACTGACATTAAAAGAAAGATTATGACTGCTACAAAAAGTGTATCTTCTAAACAGTCCTGCATTGGCAGACTGTTGTATAATGAAACCCCAGCTCAAAGCAGAAATACTCTGTATGCATAATTTAGGATTATGCCCAGGATTGTTCTAAAGTTTTTGTTATTTTTTCGTTAATTTTTTCTGCTAAAACTAAAACTGAGATAAAAATATCTCTATTAACAGAATAAACAAGACTGTCATTCTGACAATGTTACTCTTAGCATGGTAACATGTTCCAAGTCTACAGGTAGTCTGGCAACACATGGCACGGAATTACTGTCCTACTGATCTGTCGAGATGGTGTAGAGAATGGTTTGTAAGTGACCTTTTATTTCTGCAGTTGCCTTGTCTAAAGCTTAAATGTTAAGTTTTTATTGCCAAATGCTTCTTTTGATGGTTTAGCTTTGTTTACTCTCTTACTGCAGTTTGAGAGAGAGAGTACAATGCAAGTGGTGTAACCACTTGCTGTCAAGAGCTAGAAATGCCTAAGTATTATTTCCAAATAAATAATTGTGTGGTTTTCAGTTTAACTGAATTAATAGCATTTTAAGAGTGATTAGAAAGCCTTGAGATAAAAAGAAACACTGAGGTACTGGGTATCAAAAAGGGTTTTTTTAATAAATACCAAAAAAAAAGATCAGTTTCTGTATAAAACAGGGATAACTCAACACTCTGTCAAGGTTGTACCTGATTTCAATGAGTTGCCTTGATCAGAAGAGAAGCAAACCTGGATAATTACAGAGCTTAACAAGACTTGTATATGCTCAAATTTATGTCTCTAATAGCAGATAGTAGGACACAGAAAGATTAGACTAATCTACAAGTAGTAACTTTTTTTTTGCAGGAACTATTGCCTCTGCTGAATTATTTCCATATTTATGTCTCCTACTGCCCATCAAAACTGGATTAGTATTTCAACAGCAAGGTGCCAAAGCTTTGTCAGGATTACACTGAAAAATACTGAGACAAAATGACTGAAGACGTGTTGAAATGCCAGTTACAGGGCAATATTGCATTTATAAACAATCATTTCTCTAACTGGCACATACTCGTACAACACCCTTAAGGAGAAATAATCGAGAATATAGACAAGAAGCAACCAGTTGTCTACTTAAATGTGGTGCTTTTAAAATAGATGTATCCTGTATTTTGGACAGCAGCATTATGTATTTCAGTGCCTGATAGAAAAAACTTAATTCATTTATATTGAGGGGTAACAGTGAAATATGTATTTCTGCTTTGTAGCTTTACACAGATTTCAATATGCAAAGTATTTATTAAAACAGAAATGCAGCATGTGTTTAAACATAAAACTCAGAGGGTGAGAGGCTCTACTCAGAACTCGTATCCGCAAGTAATTCCTAGCAGCATACCTTCTCCAGTAGTTATGGGCCAGAATCCAATTTTAAATGTTAATTTAATGAAGACAGATATTAAAAATACGTATGTATCTTTTATTGGAAAATTTTGTGAAGACAACACAGCGAAATATCTAATCAGATACTCTTCTTCACTCCTCATGTATTTAAACCATGTTTAAACCATGAATATAAAATTAACACATAAAATATGAAAACTATTTCAAGGATCAGATGAGACAGTTGGGTGGAGAGGAGCCTAATGAAGTTCAACAAAGGCAAATGCTGTGCCTAGGGAGGAATAACCCCATGCACCAGTACAGGCTAGGGGTTGACTTGCTGGAAAGCTACTCTGCGGAGAAGGACCTGGGAGTCCTAGTGGACAAGTTAACGCTGAGCCAGCAATATGCCCTTGCAGCCAAGAAGGCCAATGGCATCTTGGGGTGCATTAGGAAGAGTGTGGCCAGCAGGGCGAGGGAGGTTATCCTCCCCCTCTATTCTGCCCTGAGGAGGCTACATCTGGAGTACTGTGTCCAGTACTGGGCTCCCCAGTTCAAGAAAGACAAGGGATTACTGGAGAGAGTCCAGTGGCTGGCTACTAAGATGATGAGGGGACTGGAGCATCTCTCTTACGAGGAAAGGCTGAGAGGGCTGGGTCTGTTTAGCCTGCAGAAGAGGAGACCGAGAGGAGATCTTATGAACATTTACAAATACGTTAAGGGTAGTTGTCAGGAGGATGGGGACAGGCAACGGGCACAAGCTGAAACACAGAATTTCCATCTGAATATGAGGAAAAGCTTCTTTACTCTGAGGGTGACAGAGCATTGGAACAGGCTGCTCAAGAGAGGTTTAGAGTCTCCTTCCCTGGAGATATTCAGAACCTGCCTGGACGCGATCCTGGGCAACCTGCTCTGGGCGGACCATGCTATAGCAGGGGGGTTGGACTGGATGATCTCCAGAGGTCCCTTCCAACCCCAACCATCCTGGGATTCTGTGAATGATTTCTAGAAGTTTAATTCTATTAGTTTGAATTTATACAACATGGTAAAGCCACAGTTTAAATGAAACTGATCAAGATTGTTTGTATTGCAAATTACGTCTTTCAGATTTAGTAGTTTACTTTGCCTTTGAACAAATTATAATTTCTATAATCCTTTTCAAGGGCACAAACCTTGCTTCTACTGAAAAAATCTGGTTCGATTACTAGTGAACTACAGAGGTTACAGCTTCTTTTGCTATTACCCTTTGATTTTTCAAGGTCTGCAGTATTGAATGCATGGAGAAATCAATTCTCTTTAAAATAGCTGTTACGCTGTCTTTGGTTCTTAAAGCTCTTGAATGCATCTTTGAAGCCAATGTACCATCTTTTGCTATGTGTCCAGATTAATTTTGTTTTGCCTTAAACAAAGCAAAACAATAAAAAAATCTAGTTTTAAGAGAACATTAAAAAATATCCTAATTTTAATAATTATATTTTTTCAAGTAGTTATGTGAAAATATATAGAATTTAGATATTGATTAATATAAAGCTTTTAGCTTTATTACACAAATGACTATTTTAAAAAGGGAAAAGGTCGTTCTAAGTAGAATGTATAAGGGCTTTAGATACATAGCTGTAATGATGGTATCATCTGTTCATTAAACATTAACTTTTTTATGATGTTAGCCAATGACAACACTGTGGGCCCCAACCTTGCGAACATCTAGACTTTCACTTAAGTTGTACACCTGGAGGTATTTTTTTACCAAACTGTGGCCATTACTGTAGAACTGGGATTGCTTTATTAACCTTGATTCCCTGTGCACATCAGTCTTTGGACCTCTAATAATGTCTTGTCTTTTTCCATCCTCCCAGCTATTGAAGTAAATCTCCAGAAAGCCCTGGCTGAAGCCTCTGAAACCTGCACGCAGGAGTGTCTCATCTTAGGCCATTCTGACAACTGCTGGATGCCACCTTCTTTGACACAGTATCAGCAGTCCAACACCCCTTTGCCATCGTTTGGCTTCCAGCAAGGCTGGGGCCGAGGAGCCAGGCCTGAGGGACGACACACTCTTGGGAGGCCCCTTCCAAAGGACGACACTGACAAAGGCCAGGGTGGGCCACGGCCCCAGTTCTACAACACCTGCAAAAGACATTGCGCCAGTGAAGATCCTGTCAAAGTCATTCCTCTGGCAAACTTCGCCGCATCCCACCAGGCACCGGTGTCTGGGAGTAGCACTACGTTTATACATGAGCACCAGCTATAAATGCATATCTGACAAACCCGTTATTTCAGGCTTTAAGTGTGACTGTATATAGTCACAGCCTAACACTGTTCTTGGTCCATATACAAACTTGTTAGGCTTGTGAATATTTATGTATATAGAATCCTAAATTTGAAATTGAAAAGCTAAATCCTTAGGACTTAGTTAAAAGAAATTTACCATAGTTCTTGGTAAAATCCACAAAACGGGGAAGAAAACCCACAACCCAGAAACAATCAAAAGAAAAACACAACATTCTGTTCATTTTCTTATATGGGCCATATAGTGCAAATATTTGCCAGCAGTTCTTCCTCCCTGTTGAAAGCAATTTCTTAGTACAGTTTGGGGAATATTACAGTCTAAATACACCTTACTCAAATTTTTTTTGTTGTTATAATTTATAGCATATTCATAGATTTCATCTTCCATTTGCTTAGCAATAGAGATCAAGTGGGCAATTTGTCATTTGATTACCTTACATAATAGAACGAATAAGATCCTAAAATGTAATTCTCAAGAAGGATGATAGATCTTTCCACCAAAATTTATCTTTTATGTAATTAAGAAGGAAAATATACTTTAAAACATGACAACTTTTTTTTATTTTAATTTTGATTGGCTCAATCTACAGGTATTTATTCTTTGAAAGAATGCGGTAGATGAAGTAGAAAGCTCTCAGCTAGGCTTTTCTGTGTGAAATAAACAACTGGACAATGATAGGATATGCCAGATCAAAACTGGAAAAAAATATAAACTTTTTTTTTAATTTCCAAGAGTTTCCATTCTACAATATTGCAAGCAACAATATGATACGTATTATGCTTTTCAAGCCATAAGTCTATTTCTACTTTTTCTTTTTTTTTTATGTTGCAGAGCTTGCTTTGGCTACTGTTCCTGTTAGTTGAAAGTTACATGGGCACTGCTGAAAACAGTAAGAAAATGGGGTAGATTTTTTGGGTGATGTGATGTCGTGGCTGCAAGCTAACTGGTGTTTAAAATAATATTATAGTGATGTATAAGTTGTCTTTTTTTTTTTTTTTTTACAGCTATATTCACCTATTGTAAGTATTCAGGAAAAGGTTAGCTGTAATATTAGTTACTTCACAAACCTATGAAATAAAGGAGTACTTGTCATTGTGACTTAGCACAGTTCTCAGCAAAAAATGAAGAATCTAGGTAATGAAAACTGGATAAATGTAATCATGAACACACCCCAGTCGTAGTATTTGATAAAGTCTCAAGGTGGTTCTCTTTAAAGATGAGGGACGTTTTTCAGTGTTCTGTGTACTAGAGGATATATTCTTAATAGTAGCAGAAAAAAGCTGGTAAATTCTACAGTGGGTGGAAAGGAGGTTCCTTAGATGAAAAAACACATTTTCCTTCTAGTATTTTGTTGCTGTTTAGCCATTTCATCATTTAGAGTATGTACATACCAAGAAATCTTTGCTTTAAAAAAACCTGCATAACTTTGTTTGGTTTTATTGCTATATTAAGTGAGACAATCGAAGTTGTATGGAGGGGAAAAAAGACTGTGTGAATATTTCATATGGATAGAGCTCTGTGTAGGCTTCATATTGTAACTTAAATCTGTAATTTATAAATGAAACTGTGTGTAAAAATGCTGTAATATTAGCTGCTTGTAAAATTTACAGAAGTTCAAGTTGTTGAGGGTTTCCAATGAATGCTAAAAGAGCTTCTCTTATGTGCCCAGCAGGTATAAGTAGCTTTATATATTGCTGTCCCCACTGTAAATCTACTCAAATCACATTTAGATTTTATGTGCAAAATAAAAGAAGCTTCACTTTTAACCTACTGATAGGGTTTAATTAATGAACATCAGATTATCAATGATGTACTTCTTTTCTTTTTTTTTTTTAATGTAGTTTTCAATAATGTTTAGGAAGGATGTGGCACACTGGCTTCCAGTTGCATGTAAATCCTGGAAAAAAATAATAATCCTTTGGGTACTGACACACAATAGCTGACACAACTCATTTCCAATTCCAAGACAATTAAAAATTTGACAAATTCATTCATACCTAATATATACAAAGCCCTTTGTTGTTTGCTTTGGAGACATCCCGATGAGAAAATTCGGCAGTCCTTTTCAGGGATACGCAAAAAAAGCTTATCTGTAGTTTACACAGATTTACCAAACATATTAATTGTGCAAATTTAGAATAATGCTGACAGCTAATGCTGCCTGTTGTAAGCAGAGGACTTTAGTTTTTATTACAGAGGGCTGCCATACCAAATGTTTACAGAATTGGCAGCTGCATTGGAAAACTCTCAATTTTTTTGCCTGCAACATTTCCTTTCTGGCTGAAAATTGTAACTGAAATTTCCTGGCAAAGAACTCATTTGTGCAATTTTAGGATTTTAATAGGAGAAGGTAAAGGGACCAGAATTAGTGTTTTTTCATAGGTAGGGGAAAAAACCCAACAAATTTCACATTTGAATGTTTAGGGCGTTGGGTTTGGGTTTTTTTCCCTCTAAGGTACAGAAGCAATTAACCATCCCCCTTTCTCTTCAAAACAAAATAACCAACAAAACACCAAAACCAAACAACAACAAAAAATTACTTAAAGCGTTGTAAAGATGAATCTGATTATAGGAACTATTAAATGTTATGTCCATGACGTTGTGTTGTGGTTTTCTAAAATTCCATCAACAAGATCTAGAACAATTAATTGTAAATATACATTGTATCAGGAGTTAAATGGTTCCTCCGTTTTTATATATTACTTATCTAATATATAAACTATGCATTTGAGGCAACGTTTTTCTGAGTGGCATGTCAGTATCCAGAGGAATAACTTTACTAGAGACTCTTTACACATCTCGCCATATATACAAATAATTTATCTAGTACATAGACTGTATATTTTTGTGTAATTTCTTTTTTTAGTCATTTAACTTATTTTATCTTACTTGTGTGAATTTGTGGAGAAAACAATCCTATATACAATATACAGTAAAATGGTAGTTACATGATTAGATTTGTTTCATACAGTGTAACAGTAAAGGAAAACCTTTGCCTTCAAAGTTGTGTGTCACACAGTCTAGCCTAGATTATTCCGCCCCCCCCCCCCCCCCCCCTTTTTTAAAAAAAAAAAAAAAAAAAAATTAAAAAAAGAACTGAAGTCAAACTGTTTGAAGTCAAATATGCTGTTTCTTTGTTTTCCTAAACTGTGCTGTATTCTGAAGTGTAACTTAATTCTAAAGAAAGAATAATTAGGCATGTCTGCTTGGCCAGACAGAGACTACTGAGCACCTGCTCTCTCTGGGCTGTGAGCTGGCCGGATGCAGGTCATTTAGCTAATTATCATGGCAATGAGCCCGTGCTAATAGGACCTGAGGGTTTATGAATGTTAGCATGACAGCTAGCTTGACATAACATTAGTTATGTGGTTCTGAATCCAGCCAGGTCTTTTTTTTTTTTTCTTGGCGTAGCGCTGGAGGAGAGCAGCGGCTTTGTATCAGACATCTATGACCCCGGTGCGTATAGATCTGTTTGGGGTTTTTGTAAGAGAAAAGAAAGTTTGCTCTGTTGTATTCTGAGCAAGCTGTAATGCAGGGTGGAACCCATCAGCCCCGAGCTACCGCTATTACCCTGCCTCCAGTGTGGTCAAGCCAAAAGACACTAGACCTAAATAATTTCTAGTCAGTAACGGTCAATTAGCTCAAGGTTGTTTGATTCAAGCTTATAAAGTTTGAGTTTTTGAAGCTTGCAAATTTACACTTGACTTTATTTGTTTGCTCAAGTTTTGCTTTTGCAGCTTTAATGCCAATCCTTAATGAATGATTATCAATGAAATGATTGCTCTTATTACCATTGTTTCACTGGATAAATAAAAAGGAAGGGATTGGTTTGTGCAGACACAAAGTAAAGTTGAAGGCAAAGATTTTATTTGGTATACGTAGGAAAATTGTGTATAACTTATGTTATCCCTCGTGAAGAAGAGATTGACGATTTCTTGTAAATATTTGAGTTTGTATTTCTGGGAAATCTCCCTGCTCTATGGCATACTACAGGATCTGAGAGTGAGCAGTGTATGTCTGTGTATTGAAACAGCCCTAACCACACTTTACAAATCATGCAGTTGGACATCATATACTACAGTCCAGCAGCACTTAAAGTCCAGTAAATTTGCGGTAGTTCTATTTCAGGTTTCTGTACAGCATGATGTCTTGTTAATTACAATGCTTATTAATAAACTAGATCCACAAAACCAGTTTTCTCCTTTGCACCGTTTCTTTGTGTTTCTGAAATACACGGGTTTAAAAAGTATTCCTCCAGCTGCCCTTCTCTCCCATTTCTAGTTTTCCAAAACTCGTTTTTGTGAAGCCCCAAACTGTCAGGAAGTGAAGAAAATTTAACTTCATTTACAGTTGCTTCATGCAACTGAGTAGCAGGCTTTTGGTAAACAGTAGAAGTATTCACACACAATTTGCACAGCAATCTAGCTTTATATTATCAGAAATATCTTCCATTTCTGTGTCGCTTCCTTTCATACCAAGCTCACTCCTACTACGCCTCTGATACACTTACTTATAGAAAATTGAGCTGGAGGCAGGAGTGTTTATGGGGTTTGGTTTGTTAGCAAATAAGCTATTTCTAATTGAGAGAACATGGATAATAAGTTGTTGTTCAGCTAAAGGGATTATCCTCTCACTGTGAATGCGATATAATGAAATAACCGTCAAACGAGGAACTTAGGAAACAACATTTTATGCATTTTCTAAAGTCCATATTTAAAAAGCAACTCTTCTGATAGTTGTCCTGACACTAAAGCAGTAGTATCTTATTCTTTGATGCAATTATGGCACTGCAAGCATAGCTTTCTTGTCTGCGGGACCTTTTCAAGCAGGAAAATTGTATTTATTTTGGCATCAAAACTGTGCACAAGGATATTCCTTCATTGACAATAACTGTTGAGATGTTAGTTGTTATTTTGAAGAATGTACTCAGCCTACAAATTAAAAAAAAAAAAAAAGAAAAA